TTATGTATGCCGAAAGGAGCTAAATTAAGTTTGCACAGGCAGCCTGGCATTTCTTAACTTTTGTACAGTTGTCTTTGCAATATACATGTTAATTCAAGACTACTTAGGTTTTTAAATGCTGGGGAAAGGAGCACTATCTCTCAGTGTTAGCTTGCTGAGTCCTTCTTTAAGTTAAACCAGACTGAGCTGGTCTTATACAAAGGGGTCCACTCAGGCTTTCGCAGCACCCGTTTATATTTGGTGTAAAAACAGCTATAAGTTACACTGCAAAGCTCTCCTGCCCACACAAGCCTCAAGTTCCATGATTCTGACTGGTCCCTTTGTTGCTGAATTTAGCCACCAGCACTTCCTGGGCACGGTAAGCGCTCAGCTTTGCTGGTTCACTGGAATCTCTTGCAACCTCCTCTAATGTTAGAGTAATCCTTGCCAGGAAGGCAAGAGAAGCAACTCCCTACAGTTCGTATCTGCTCTTTTTCCCCCCCCACACTTCAGCTTTTCCTTCTACCTGTAGGGCCAATATCAGAAATGTTGCATGACTTGTCACTTCTTTACCTCACTCTTGCCAAGGAAATTTAATTATGAGGCCCAATCCTCCATGTCTCCCTGCCTAACGGCATGCTCATAATCTCCAGAGGAACAGATGGTAACTAAAGTTGGCAGCATGGCTGCGGGAGAGTGCAAACAGCTTTTGGCACTTGTTCCTACCACTGCTAGTGAAAATGGACCTGGGATTTGCTCGTTAGTTTCATGTTCTCTAAGCAGCTGATGATCAGCAAAGTAATAACAGGAGAAAGAGAGAGGGGCACCACATTCTGGGCCATGGTGGCGTCTCTTGGCTCAGCTCAAAATTTAGATCCTAATTCAGAAGGTGCTCAGCACTCCCTCTGCTCTTGCTTTCTTTACTGTGAGCTGCAGCAGCTGATGGTGAAAGACTGAGAGCTGCTTAAAAGGCAGTATGTTACAAAAATGATGTTCATAGATTCCTAGGTGTGATTCAGAGTTGCCTTGATGTTGTCCATCAGCTTCCTGTATGGCAGGTAGGCAGGTGAGGGTTCCTAGTCAGTGCATTGCTTTTCTTTCATCTCTTTTAAGCATTGCTTTTATTAAGAGGATAACAAACTCATCCTAATGTGACCAGAGCTGATTCTGCTCTCTCAAATGAGAGACCACTGTTTGAACTTGCAGGTGAACTGAGGTAATGCTAGAAACCCACTGATGAGTTCTGGTGGATGCAGTGGTTTTTGTGTACGCTGCTGGAGGGCTGACATTTCCGTCCTTAAAAATGCTAATAGGATGACTTTGAGCATTCTGGCTGCTGTGCTCAGCTGTCAGAAAGGCCCCAGGAACAGCCATCGCTGCCAGTGTGTGATAAGCCTAGAATTGCACTTTATGGCCCATTTTCTCTCCTTCTGAACATCAGGACGCGAGGATGCACAACAAGACGCTGAAGCGGACCCGGAAATTTGTGGTGGATGGAGTGGAAGTGAGTGTCACCACCTCAAAGATCATCAGTGAGGATGAGAAGAAAGATGAAGAAATGCGATTCCTCAGGCAAGTTGGAGGGTGGCCATTGGACAGGTGGGAGGGTCGGCTTAGCCAGTGCGGAGGGCGAGTGATGGAGTGCAGACCCTCTGCCTCTGCACACACCTGGGGGAGACTTTAACGCTCCATTGGGCGACCTCTGTGAAACGTTGGTGCGCTCGCTCTAGCTCACTTTGGGCAACTGTCTCCAAAGCCCGGACCTCCTCCTTAGCCCCCTTGTTGGCAGCACCAGCAGAGGCAGGAGCTCCATGTGATGCACAAATTTAGCTTCTCTCTCCCATAATAAATTCAAAGCTGAGGCTTAGTGGGGGTGCTCCATGGAGGAAGTCCGTTTCACTGCTGGCTTTCTAAGTCTGTCCTGTGGCCAAATTTACTCCTGTTTCTAGAGCTGTCAATCCAACACATCAGCTCAGCTAAAATAACGTAATCAAACCTCAAAAGGAGCTCCTCTTCTGCTATTTTGTCTGCTCAGACTTTAGTCAGCAAAAGGCCATGATGGGCTATAGACTCAGATGATCACTTAGTATTCAGCATGCTCAGCCTCTCTGAAAGTTTTATGATTCCATTATTTTTTTATAGCCTTCAAACCTCTAGGATCTTTAACATGGGCAGAAGAGGCTGTTTCTAACTTCATTATTAGTAGCAGCCACAGTGAAATGAAATGCTCATAAAAATTATTGGGTCTGATTCTTTGTTACAGGCTTCCCATATACTGCTTTAAAGAATGCCCTGAGAATGTAACCTACACAGAGGTTTAGCCATGCCAGTCTGCTCATTCTCCCAAACAAGAAATAAATAGCTGGAGCAAAGTGTTCATTACCTGTTCTCTGAGTATGGACGGACAAAACAATTATACTGAGTTAAGGCAGGAGAGGGGCTTGTCATGTATCACACTGATCCATTGCAACTGTTTCATTTGTCCCTTCTATCCCATGGAAGCTAAACCATGGTAATTTAGTAGTTGTTTCATTAAAGGTAGACTGCCCTGGCTTGGTTTCTGCTTGCTGCTGGGTAGAGTGAACAGTCTAAACAGTTGCAGTGAATCAATTTGATGGGCAGCAAGTGTACCCCCATGCCCTCCAATTTAGCAGAACTGCTTTGTCCAGAGGCTGTGGGAAGCCTAGCATAATTTAGAGCCACCTCAGGGGCTTGTCCCAAGCAGTGCCCTGAACACTGCAGAATAGAAAGGTGACTTTAGGCCACTCTTGCCCCAGGCTCAGAAATGGAGTAATTGAGAATTGGGCCCCTCTTTTACTAACTGGCTCACTCCACCTATGCAACAGATTGATGGGGAAAAGGCTGAAAATCTTCAGCTTTTTGCACCAAAATGTGTTTGAGGAAGGCTGCAATTCAATATGAGCTGACCTAGCAGCTTTACTCATTTTCCTTGCACCTTTTTTTCCACCTGAGGATTTCAGATCAGTTATTTCCTGCTATTTGTTAGAACATGCCAAGGTACTGCTTTCTTTTTTCTAAGGCTGCAGTGAAGAGGAGCTGGCCTTTTGGGCCAATTGACTTAATGGAGCGAGAGTTTGTTTTGATGCAGGAAATTGCTCTGAAGTGGCTTTCCCAGTAGAGCACCAGGTGTCTGCATGCGTGTGTTACACTGAAGCATGAAACATTCAGGCACAGTAGTAAAAGTCCCAGTGCATATTTCACATGTAAAGCTTTGGATTTTTTTTCTTTTTCCTTTTGCAATTTCCAACCAAGCCAGATTGTAACCTTGGAAAGTGAGCATTGATGTGCCTCTGAAACCAGGCCAAGACTGCGTGCTTGTTAGATGCTCTGGTACAAAGGCAGATGACTTGTCCAGAGATGTGTTACAGCTCCTTGATACACAGGCAGACTCTGGGAAGATCTCTTCTTCCTGCCACCAGGTTTTATCATAGAGAAGTAGGGTTGGAAGGGACCTCCATTGGTCCGACCGCCTGCTGGAGGCAGAGTCGTTTCTGGGAGTGAAAGCAGTCCTTGAACTTGAACAGTCGTAGCTCATGCTGAACTCTATTTTAGAGACCAGTTTAAATTAAACCGGACAGGATGTAGCAGGCCTCATCTTTCCTGCTGGCTAGGAGAGGGTTGTGCCTACATTATAATGATGTCATGAGTTTTACCTCGGCACTTTTCAAATGTCCCAAGCAGTATGGTTCCCATTTACTATTTTGCTGGTGAGTAAGTCTCACTAGTACAAACTGACGTTCTGGTACCTGTTAATGTTGTTAACATTTCTCCTTCCTATAAACAGAGAACAGCAATACAGCCCTGGGAGCAATCACTCAGTCTGCATCTACCCTGCTCCTCACGTTCAAAGCAGTAACAGTTGAACATTAGGAGGTGACAGAGTGCTTTCTGTTTCCTGCCCATTCATTGATGCCATTTCTGCTCCCATGTTACTTCACTTACAAATGCTGCCTGCCCTGATGAGGGACCCAACGTTGAATTTTACTTTTTATTTCCTCCTCCTTAAAACCTTTAGGCGCCAGGAATTGCGAGAGCTGCGTCTCCTTCAGAAAGAAGAGCACAGGAGCCAGGCCCAGATAAACAGCAAACACCAACTGCAAATGGAGCAAATGCTGAGGCGCTTTGAGCAAGAAACAACGGTATGTGGGAAGGAGGAAATAAAATACCCTGACTGGTTGGGACTTCTCCCTTCCAGCTCATCAGCAGAGAGTTCAGGAACTCACAACATGTGCTGAATAGCTTGGCTAACCAGCCTGCACCACGTGCCAAACACTTGCTCGCTCCCCAGAAGTAAAACTGGCTGCATTTTCAGGGATATTTTGAGAGGGTGCAACAATCCAGGAGACCCTGGAGGAACCATCCTCCTTAAGGATGCGTCAGAGCCCATTAACACTATTTTCAAAACTTCCCTATATACCTCAAAGGAGCATGCCCTGCTCCAGAAATAAACTGGAGATGCTGGGCCAAACTCCACGTTCCACCCACAGCCAGCTTGTGTGCTATAGTGTCAGAGCAGAGCCAGCTGGTATGTCTCTGGCTATAGATAGAACGAAGGTGAATTGTGGCTTTAGAGGCTTTTTTATAAAGAAATCCCTTTTTAAGAAAACAAGAAAACAAAAAAACCCACCTTTTTGGGACCCAGCAATGAAGTGTCTCCTGTTCCAAGCAGTGTGTAGAGCTGGCAACTCCAGTGTCCTACCTGGAGGGCAAGAGGCATAACTGCATATGTGTTTCTCTTAAATTTTTAAATCTTGCCCTGACCACACAGCATTTGTGGACCGCATAGCATTTGTGGACCCTGCTGTTAGAAGCGGTTATTGCTTGCTAAGATTTGTCCATGTTATGGTGTGATGCGCAAGAAAGGGATGTGCTTCCCCTACAGTTTTTCTGAGGCACTTAGCAATCAACCCACATCCCACAGCTGCCTGCATTCCTGCTGACACTGGCGTTATGCTGATATGGCTCAGAAGTAAGGAGAGGGCAGATATGTGGGTGTCCCCAGGGTGCCTTCTATGTTATTTAAATGTCTTTCACTTGCAAGCCTAAGCTTGTTGAGCAAGACCTCCTATGTTTTGAGCTTCTAGAAGTACTAAACTCTACCCCAGGATGTTAGATACCAGATGTATATCAAGATGTGAAGTTCATCTGCTGATCTGTCAGAGTCCAGAGCTGGCTCAGACTAAGGTGCATTGGCAGGAGTGGACATGAAGTTGGCACAGTACATGTTCACATTAGCTTTGGCTTTGCCCTGTCCATCAGCTTGTGCTTGCATGCACCGAGCCTGTAAATGCAACGGTGAGGCTGCTCTGAGGCCACCTTCCTGTGGCTGCTGTTCAGGTCTCAGCACCTGTGTGAGCAGCCTCACTGCTGCAGTTCTGAGTTTCGGCACATGTGAGCAGGAGCAGGTAGGTAGAATGTGCTTGAAGAGCCCCCTGTTGGCAGTGCCAGGAGCTGCCAAGCTGATGTGCCCTTGGTATTTCATTTTTGTAAACTTCTATCCACTTTTGAAAAAGATGCTCAACTTCTTTCAGGACTTTTTTTTTTCTCTTTAGATTGACCCTTCTCTGGGGTTTTTATTATTTTGACTACGTGTTGCCCCTCCTCCTCCCCAATTTAGGGAAAGAAGAAATTCTTTGATACTGAGTTGGAGAACCTGGAACGTCAGCAGAAGCTACAGATTGAGAAGATGGAGCAAGATCACACCTTACACCGGAGAGAGGAAGCAAAGTGCATCCGCACTGAGCAGGAGCGAGATTATGTCCGATTCCAGGAGCAGCTTAAACAGAAAAAGAAGGAGGTAAAAATGAGAAAGGGACAGGCAAAAACTGGTTTGCTCTAATTTTTAAGGATGCCCTCATCCTTGTCCAAGGGAGTATTATGCAATTAACTGGTTAATTACGCAATAAGTTTAGACTGGCCACAAGTGCAAAGTAATTATCACACCATAAAAATGACTATCAAGCTACAAAAAGAGCCAACCAGCTTCAAAGTTAGAACTTGAAAAAATATAGTAACTTTATAGATGTTTTCCATCTGGCTTGAATTTGAATGGGTTGCAGGGCCCACAGTGAGGCTTTTGCTCTTCTCCTGAGTTCTTGGATTGCTCTGGTGGTCCAGCTCCTGAAGCTCCCAGTGAAAAGATTTTCCCTTTCCTCAAAGGTCAAGAGTGAGGTTGAGAAGCTTCCCCGGCAGCAGCGCAAGGACAGCATGAAGGTGAAGATGGATGAATTTGCTCAAAGCAAGCAAGTCATGGTAAGGCCAGAGAGGATCAAACCACAGTGGAGAGTATATGGGGGAGAGTGTGGCAGCTTGACTCCCTGCCTAAAGGTGCTGCAGGGTTTAATGTAGAAATGTTGTGCATCAAGTAACAGCAGAAAGAGGGCTCATTGTAGGGGTCTTGTCTTCTAGGAACAGGAATTCTTAGCCAAACAGAAGGTGGACCTGGATACAATCATGAAGACTATCACAATGCAGAACCGGAAGGAAATTTCTGACAAGGAGCGCGAGTGCCTGAACAGAAAGCAGCAGCTCATGAGAGGTAAGTAGGATGGGGCAGGGGAGGGAGAATGTGAATACTGACAAAGCTGGGTTTATCCAGCACTCGCTCTTCCCACATAACAGATGCTGACATTGCTGCAAGTTGGCAGGATGGGACTGGGGGTGAGGTGGGCATGGAGCCTTGCCAGAGTCTTCCTCAATGATTAACAATAATAATAGTTAACGCTTTAATCTTCAAAGTGTTTTACAAGTATGAATCAATTAGTCTTCATAATTACAAGAGATGATTCTCTGATGTGGTTTGCCGCGGTGCCTCTTGGAAGGCAGAAGGTGAGAGATCACCTCTTCATCAGCTTTACAGCTCCTGGGTGATGGAATCACTAGAGCTTGCGAAAAGCTGCATGTGCATTAGTAGGTATCCTTTTAATTTTGTCTCCTTTTCCTCAGACCGAGAAGCTTCTCTGTGGGAGCTAGAGGAGCATCACCTGCAGGAGAAACACCAGCTTATCAAGCAGCAGCTAAAAGACCAATACTTCCTCCAAAGGCACGAGCTAGTCCGAAAGCATGAGAAGGTAATAGAGTGCAATCTTCCCAGGTGGTGCCCTCTACTGATCAACAGGGTCTGGAGCTACTGCAGTAGAACCTGTTCTTGGTCTGTCTGGCTGAAAGTGGCTTCATTCCCACTCTCTAAGCAGTGTCCTACTTTCTGGCTTTCAGGCCCCCTTCCATCCCTCCCTCCTGCAAAGCTCTGAGGCAGTTGAACAGTCTTGGAAAGGGAGGGAATTAGTGTCCCATTTCAAGACAGGGAAATAAGGTCACCCTAGCTATAACTGCAGCTGCTTATGAGCTTGCTGTTTTCTTAATATTTTATATCTGTTTTCTAGGCTATGTTATCTCTTGCTTTAATACAGGGGTTGGCAACCCCTGGCATGCATGCCGAACGTGGCACACGAGGCCGTTTTTCTTGGGACACCGCAGCCAGCCCCGGCTCCGGGTAGCTGCTACCAGCGACGGAGACCGGGCTGCTCCCAGCAGGGCTTGCAGCATCCCAGCTGCCTGGCTGGCAGCAGCTCCCCAGAGCCGGGGTAGCTGCTGGCAGCCACAGAGCCCGGGCTGTGGGTCAGGGGCTTTGGGTGGGGGGCAAGGGGCACAAGCAGGGCATCCTGCCATATACTCCTTGCCCTCATTTTATTTTTCTGCCATGCTGGCACTCTAGCACCTTCCAAGGTAGGCATTGTGGTGTTTTTCAGCACTCCAGCCAAAAAACGTTGCCTACCCCTGCTTTAATAGCAGCACTGTGTTCTAATGCAGAAACATTGTCTGATGTGGTGTCAGTTCCAGGGAGGATCAGGGGAATTAAAAGTATACCCAAAATTGCTGCATGAAAGCAAAAAGCTCTTTTGTCATTAACACTGTTAACTTAAAATATTCAGTAAAATGCCTATGACCCAGACTTGCAGATAAAGATCTTAGTAGTTTCATGGTGATGACCTGTTTTAAGTCCCACCCCATACCCAAGGGATGGTAAAAGCACTGTATCTAAAGTTTTTCCTTCCCAAAAATTACTTGGAGCTCAATCTGCTGCAACTGTTCAGCTTCTTACATCTTGCCTCGGATCAGTTGTTGTCTCATTTGTTCTCCTCTTTGTGATAGGAGAGAGGGACGCCCATTAGCACCTAGAGTATGGATAGTCCTGGTCTATTGGGCCTTGTCAAGAATTCTGCAGGGACTGAGTAAAAATGTAACCACAAGCTGATATTCCTCCTCATTTTAACCCCTATCCTTGTCTGCCTTTTTGGTCTATCTAGCAACCACTTGCATTAATCCATTTTGGCCCCTGGGAACTGAGGCTGTTTTTACCTCAGTGAGACTTTCAGGCCTCACACCACCACTAAAAGCCCTTCAGTGTTCTCCATTTGTCTTCACTGTTAAAGTCACTCCTTCTGCCTGACGAGTCTTTTCTCTACTGAACCTGGTTTCTTTCCATTTTATCATTGTAGGAGCAAGAACAAATGCAGCGGTACAACCAGCGAATGATTGAGCAGCTGAAGATTCGGCAGCAGCAGGAGAAAACCCGTCTCCCCAAAATCCAGAGGAGTGAAGGGAAGACCCGTATGGCCATGTTCAAGAAGAGCCTCCACATAAATTCCAGTGGGAGTGCATCAGAACAAAGGGAAAAGATAAAGCAGGTAAGTCTCACTGTCCCAGGTGGTATCCCTGAAAAGATAGAGCCTGTGGAGATGGTCCCATCACTACGAGTGAAGCACTGCACTACCTTGCAGGAGACACTGGAATGCTAAGAGCAGTGGCTCCCAGTCTTTCTGCGTCAGCCTCATTGCCAGGCTTGTGACATCTCCTGGTGTGAGTCTTTGGGTCTTACAACTCCATTTGCAAGCATGACCACTAGTTTGGGACCTATTGTGCTAGAATGAAGTACCATGATCCCACAACAGCAACATCTGGAAAAATTTAAGTTTGCAGCACTGCTGTAATTTAAGAGTTTGTCTATATAGCAACACTCAGGAATATTCACTTAGATTCAAATGTTAAAAAATGGTTTGGTGGATTTAAAGCAGGTTACAAAGGGAAGCAAGGTAAAACATAGATTGATGCCGCTTTAACTCTGAAAAAAGTGTCCACATAGTATTTTAGTTCAGTTTAACTCTTTGTCTTTGCTCACACTCTTAAATCATTCCGATTTTCCTGAATGTAAACAAGTCCCAAAGGAGGAAGCAGTGACATTTGTCATACCTCCAACACCCATGGATCTCTGTGGCAGAGTAGTGCAGGCAGCTGCAGTAAGGGATTTTGAAAAGCTCCCAAGTAACTTGCAGTCAGAACAGACTGCTGCACTAGCACGTGGAATACTGCAGTTCTGGTTATAAGAGGAATGGGGAAGCTGTTTCTCATTTCCTCTTAAAACAAATGACTGTGTTAAGTAGCACTGGGAATGCAAAGTGAAAAAAGTTTCCAAGGTCTGGCATATCTCAATCCCCACCCATCAGGTGCTCACCTCAGGACCAAACCCCAGGCAGAGTGGGTCAGTCAAACTGCTGAAGATGCCTAGTGGACCCAAGCGCTCCATCTGTCTTAAACAGAATAACAACAGCTTGGCAGGACCAACAACTTAATGATTAACTTGATTATTTACCCGGTCACAAGAGCTCTCAGTCATATTAAACAGCATGGGTGTGGGCATGAGATTGATATCCTTGAGACTGGATTGGGGAGTGGCAGCAGCCCTTGTGTTGAGGTCTACAAAGTCTGCTCTAGTATAGAGTTTCATTTTGAAGTAGTTTTTTTCAGTTGGGTGGGGGATCACAGGATCTCTTAATTGAGTGGGATCTGCAGTTTAATTTTTACCAGGCTGTTTTGAATGGGTTTTCTGTGGATATAACGTTTGTATCAGTTTGAGTATTTTAGGACTCCAGCCTTCCTTTGCTCCTTTCTTGGTTAGTCTCTACCAGTCTCTGAACTTGGGGCACTTGGGTTATTGGGGCCTGGTTTCTCTTCCAGTTTGCTCAGCAAGAAGAAAAGAGGCAAAAGGCTGAGCGGCAGCAGCAGCAACAGAAACATGAGATGCAAATGAAGGACATGCAGGCCCAGTGTGAGAGCAATGTACAGGAGCTCCAGCAACTGCAGGTAACTTTGCATCATTGGCTGACCTTACAGACCTGCTATAGGCTGAGGATGGGAGTATCCTCTTCTCCAATGACCTGTGCTACAGGTCTTAGTCACTGTGGTCATATGGAGCAGAAATTTAACTAGAGTTGAAATCACCCATCTGTTCATACTAAGTAGTTCCCTTAGGCATGCAGGAGCGTTACCCCCAAGCTGCCTCAGACTTGGCAATAGTGCTGGGATATCTGAGAAGGAACATGGGTGAGGAAGGCATCTCCATTTCATCTGGAGTCCGTGGTTTAGTGAGTTTCTACATGGACACCAGGATCCAGGAAGAAGGCTTTACAAAGTTTGTTTTTTGAGTGGGAGAGATTTTGTGTCTAGTGTTGTTGCCACCCACAGACTCCTTATGCCATCTTCTGGCTGTTTTATTTAGAATGAGAAATGTCATCTCTTGATGGAACATGAGACCCAGAAGCTGAAGTCCCTGGATGAAAACCACAACCAGCACATGAAGGAATGGCGTGATAGGCTGAGGCCGCGAAAGAAGGTAATATCTCCTGCACCGGTGTCACTGCAGTCTGCTTGACTGGAAGGGGTTGTGTCAATAGCAACAGCATACTTATGAATCCCACTCTTGTGTGTTTTCCTTTTTTTGCATGAAGGCTCTGGAGGATGAGCTGAACCTGAAGAAGCATGAGCAGGAGATGTTCTTCAAAATGAGTGAGGAAGCAGATGGTCAAACCCCTGGATCCCCCAACAAACCTGCCAAATTTGTCCCATTCAGCTCCACTGGGTGCTCATAACATCTGGATCTGGCCAGACAAGCTAGCCGGCAGTCGATGTAACCTCGTTGGCTATAGACAAGCAACCTGAAACTTTTGGGACCTTCTTGCCCACGCTGCAGTGTCTTCTCAGAACAAAGTCCTCCTGTCCTGCTTGTTCTCTCTGAGATCAATATGTCCTCCTGCCACTTGTCTTTCTGTGGGAAAGGCTGGATGGATTCAGAGCATCAGTAGTTTTCCCTGGTGCCAAGCTGGTCCACCTAAAGCTGTATGCCAGGAGACTGTGCCTACCAAATGAGTAAAGGCTGTAGACCAGAGAAGCATTTGGTTATTGAGCACTATTCAAGATGATTAATATTCCTGTTCTTCATGGCTAGCCCTCCTTCCACTCTGTCAGACTAGTGACTGATCCAGTCTTTATCAGCATATAATATTGTCTCATACTGTCCGGGTCTCCTGGATCTGTGAGGCCTGAAAGGGTTCAAAAGCTAACCTACCAAAAAAAAAAATTAATAAAAATATGGGGGGCAAAAGCAAGTCATCTCTGTTTACTGTGGTCTCCATCTTCCTAGGCTGTTAAAACAAGATTCAGCATTTCTTTTTCTCCAGGTTTAAAATGTGAGGGGACTTGGCTAGGCATTTCCTTTATTTGTCTGGTTATTGATGTTAAATGGCACAGCCCTCTCTCTGGGTCCTAGTGACTCTGGCACTCAGCACCCCTCCAGGAGCTTGAAGAACATGTTGATGAGGATTCAAATCCAGGTCTCCCAAAAAGTAGTGTGTGGAGTATCACTGCTAAGTTGCCAAGCCAGCCCAGGCTTTTGTCTGCTAAGAAAGGATGGGGCTGTGCATTGAGAGAATCTGTGGTTTTATTCAGTTCTGCATATTGACACGGTGAAATATTATTGGTGGTAATCATATTCTTTCTGTCTGGTGGTGATTGCTGATATGGCTCTTGGAGGTACATGTATGATGGAGCTTTGGAAAGTGCTGTGCATGTGTGGGACAGGGAGATTACTCAGACTTCTGCAGTGCAAATTGCCTAATATGAAGCTTGGTTTGTAAAGAGTAATACATCTGGCAAAGACCCATGCAGTTTAGCTCCTGAAACTAGTGCTCTGGGAAAGGAATATGCAAGTGACGGTTCCTACTGGCTTGTTGCAAAAGTAATGCCTAAGCTCCTTAAAATTGTTCACAATTTAGCTCAAATTCTTCTCCTGGCTTTGTGCCTCGAGTCCTACAAAACTAGGTTGGCGGTTGTACTTCAGGTTCTGCCTACCTTCTCCCTCCACATGATGCTGTGATGTAGTCAGTCTTTGGTCTGTCCTCACAATATGCATTTTGGCCCCAGTAGGGTCTCTGGTTGTATTCAATTGTAAACATGCTTTGCAGTAATGTATGGCTGGAAGTTAAAATTCCCTAGCTTCTTTATCCTAGCCTAGACACTGTCAATCCACATAAATCACCTGTGTATATGCAGACCGTGGTCAGTCTCGTATTACTGTTCCAATTAGCAGAATAGCACATGAATCCGATGTGTGTGATGCAGCCACCTTTCAGCTTGGAGCTGCTTTGACCTGGCATAGAGAACAGGGAACTTGCTATGTAGCCTCCTTTTCCTTATGTGACTGCCTGGTCACAGAACAGCATGTAGTCACAGTTAGCTGTTTCTTTTTCCATTGGTTTATGGGCTGAATTATCTTTCTGCACATAGATCATACTTTCCAGTTTGGAGAGTCTTATTGGAAATATACCAGCATTTCCATCAAAGTGCTGCTCTGTCACCATCCCATATCTCATGTGGTGTTTCAAGAGACGCATTAACTTTGCAGGGAACTAAGGCGATGGTACCAGCTAGAAGAGATGTATGTTAGTTGTGAATCCTAAATACTTGGAAAGCTGAAAGACCTGGCAGCTTGAAGTTCTTAAGCACCTTTTTAGCAATTTGGAGTAAATTTATTATCTGTTTAAAATTATTTTTAAAATTCTAATTTCCTGAAAATGTTCAGGGATGTGTCCACTTAGCCATTCAGAGTTCCCTCTGAATTAAAGGTATTAATGTTTTATTACTTGGCGCACAGTAGCTCAGACAGGCTTACCTGGGCAGTCAGCCATAGGTAGTGAAAGCTTAACTGATACATCAAATGGAAAAGTAATGCAAACAGAGAGAATGCATAATTGATTGTACTGTCTCAAAATGCTCAAAATGCTCTATGTTGTGAGATCTGGAAGACCTCCTTTTTTTTTTTTTAATAGACCACCTGGGATCTTTTCAATAATAGCTAATTCCCCCATATACGTATTAACTGTCCTGTCTCCATAAGTATTGGCTTCACTTTCATTGAGACATCCTGATGTCATTCTGGGAGCTCATGTGGGAATGAATGAGGGTGGTTGTTCTTCAAATGGAGGGTTGGCTCGAACCTTCAGATAGCGTTAGAAATGAAGTGCTACAGCTTAGAGGCCAATTTTTGTTTCCAGCCCCACTGATGTAAGTCTGAGCAATCACTAATATCAAACTCTGGTCTTTGACTTGTCCTGTGTATTTGCTCTTTGGATCATTGGAAGGATTTTCTCCAATATACTTGCAAGAGATGGTTTCTGGCTTAAATGTTCAGAAATGGGTGGGGGAAGGTGCAATTGTGACCCCAGTAGTCTAGACAGATGCATCTCATAACTGTCAATGTGTAAGGCAGACAGGGAAGTATTCCTAACTAGGGTGCGAGTAGTATTTGTATATTGTGCAGCAGTGAAGATGGGGACAATTTTTGCAGACTTGTTACTTCTCTTAGTAAACCAGTCCCTTATTCATCCAGTTAATCAAATATCTTGCTGGAAACCTGTAATTTAATTGCTGTTTTCTTAACAGGACAACCTTTTTTTGTTTTTTGTTGTGTGCTATTTGTCTGACCCCAACTGGTAAGTTAACAAAAGGGCAGAGGTGATGCCCAAGAGGAGGGCAATAATGCATGCCATGAAAATGTAACGTTTAAAGGAGACTTGGCTTTTTTTTCCTTGTTAAGGCAAGAAAGATCCTTCCCCTCTCCTCCCCTCTCCACTTTTGGAAGTTATTTCCCCTTAAGTAAATAAAAGCAACTTATTTTCACATGGGGATGGGGAGGGAGTCTTTTGTTTTTTTAATTCATCTTTGAATGATTTTTTTTGAAAATATTTTGTAAAATGTCTTTAGTGGCGCAGCCACTAAAATGTAAATAATTATTCTAATAAAGTAACTAAGTGATATACTGGGTATGAATATAATGTTTTGTGTATTCATTGAACTTTGCTTCTTAGTGGCATAGTTTTAGTTTTGGTAATTGTATCCAGAGCAGATAGGTGGGTGGAAAAAGTTCTGATGCCTGTGCTAGGATATTATCCTTGCAAAGCTGGGATAAGCTTGTTCTCTGAGAGGACCAAGTTACACCCAAATGGTTTTTTTGCATCTTTGTGTTGATAGGATCTGTGCAAGTAAAATAGCTCTGCTCTCTTGCAGCTTGCTGTTCCAGCCAGGAGTTCTTTGAAAGTCCTTGTTCCTGTAAAAATAGTTGAAGGGTGACGCTGTTTGGCAGAGAGGGGGAATTACATCTTAAGCAGGACCTTTTATTATGTTTTGAATGCTTCAGTAATAGTGCTTAGCCTTTTTATACACCTTCTGTCCAAGCAGGTCAAACACGTCATATCTGTGTGAATTGCTGTCTTGAAAACTATTAAGTCTCCGAGACGCAGAGGCTAAGTCATTAATCCAAAATCACAAAGCTGGAAATAGAACCTGTGTTGACTGATTCCTAGTCATGTGCCTTTGACCATTGGATGATGCTCACTTTAGCCAGGGAGGACTTGAACCATAGAAACATGTTATACAGTGGTATTAACCTTACTTCATCCCTATTGGAAATACTTTGACTCTGCATCCTTTGCCTTTTTTGTGTCAGAATAGCATCAACTTAAGTCATCCCATGATTAATAGCTAAGTCTTTTTCTTCTTGGACTTACAGTGGTCAAATTATCTTTCCCCACCCCACCCCTTCTTAAACATCAGAACTTCACATGCAATTTTTCAGTCCTACAGTGCCCCAGTGGGATGGTTTTATTGCAGAGGTTAGGCATTGGCCCAATTTCATGTGCCGGTTCTTTTGAAACTCTCTGCATGAGAGGCTGAAGAATAGAAGACCAGAGGTTACTACAGGCTGCACCGGCAGTGCTGTGGTGGGAATGTAGGCAGGGGTTTCTGCAGGTGGGGTGGAGGGTGTATCTGCACTGCCAAAACTGGAGATTCTGCTTCTCTGCCTGGCCAAGAAGAGCAGAACTTCCTCTCTTTACTCTCACATGCAGCTCCTTTATCTGGTGGTGTGGAAAAAAACAACCAAAAAACTCCTCCACTTGTTTCAATCTACTTATAATTCCTGAACCCCAGAAGTGAAAAGCTAGGTGTGCCTATGGGGTGGAAGCTTGCTACCCATCTGTCAACTCCAGGTAGCAGCCTCAGTCCCCAAAAAAGCATGCAACTGAAAGCTGGTCAGGTAACAAAATGTCAAAGTTTGCTGGTGAAATCTCTTCTGCTGAGCTGCAGAGACTAGAACTTGCAAATGTGTAGGCCAACACAATCAGCTAATGGGTTTTTATACCAGCACCACATGGAGAAATGTCCAGTCAGCAATAGCGAGACAGCTTGGCTCCCTGCTTCCCTCTAATAGAGATGCTGCCTGGAGGCAAACACTTCAGTAATGAGGTGGCAGATATCTAAGGAGAATAACACTGTGCTTCCCAACAAGGGCTTAATATCTTCTGGTAGGAAAGTGGATCAGCAATAATCTTCCTTGGCTTTCAAATTACCCCAGTGTGAAACATAAGATCCCAGAACAGTCTCATTCTTAAAATTTGCCTCCTTTACAAAGCCGGGGGGCAGACTTCAACATTGGAATAGACATCTTTTTATGAAAGTGGTGGCAAGATAATATGATATATTCCAAAAATATCCATCAACCTCTCTTTCAATGTCAAGCTAAAAACGCATTGGGCTCCTATGCAAAATGTTTTATTTTTACTACAGCACATTCGGATACAATGTAACCTTCCAGAAATGTATATACCTAAACTGTGAGTTGTCAGTGTTTCTTTTATCTTGTCATTATCTTCTCCCTGCCATGCATCATGTCAAATGTGAACTGTCCGCCCTTCAGAACAGCATCCAGGTCTCCTGTGAAGTTCATACGTTGTTCAAGCTGTTTATTAAATAACTCATGCTAAAAAGAAAGCAAAAGTAGGGCAGTCAGGGACAGTCAAGGTGTTGAGACTCCTGCCTAGCATATCTTAACACTTACGCAGTTTCTACCTCACCCTCGGCCATTTCCGAAGGACATCTGAAGATGAGCACTACTGCAGGCAGTTGCTGCTGAAAGAAATTGCATCTCCTTTCTGAACACCAAAGACTTTTATGTTTATAGGTACTAGAAAGTTAGCCAGCTTAATTCCCAGACATCCAACAAGCTGGTGCTCAAGTTGAGTCCAATCCTTGCACAAAGGCCTTCTCCAAAATATCCTGAAATATGCCTGTCTCTCTGCCCCGTGGGAATTGCTGTTCAGTGATGTAAAGCCCTCCCTTTGCTCCCTGAGTGGTGGAAGCAGTGCCTCTTCCATCTTAATGACACAACTTTAGTGGCTGTGATTATAAGGAACCCCATAAGACAGTGGTTCTCCACTGGGGTGCCACTCGATCCTTTGAAGGGCTGCATGAGGTATAAAAAGATAAAGCCGGCTCAGGCTCTTGATTGCCTAGCCATTCCCCCTCCCCTACTGCTTGGTCCTACGGCAAGGAGGTAAGCAGCGTAATAAATTAGCTTCTGAAATGGGATGCTGCTCACTTCAAGGTTATGCAGGGGTGCCTGGAATCTCAGAAGGCTGAGCACCCCTGCCAGAAGCATACGTTGCAGGGGCTGTTTGGATAATACTCGCATTTCTTCCGTTTGCCCACCAGATGGTACCCACACTAAAATATCACAAAATAAATCTTCACAACTCCAGAACTATCCTTTTAATTCATATTGTATGACAATATGCACAACTAGCATTGATCGAGTGTGATGATGAAACCATGGTCAACAATTGACTTTTTAAACTAGTATCTTAACCTTTGAATGAAATAAAAATAAATAAAACATCCTGCTTTACTTGCCTTTCCCTGTTGCTTCTCACATCTCTTAAGAGTTTCTCATATTTTCCTTCTCCATTATTTTTATCATGAATTTGAACTGGCAACTGGATTTTTCTCATCTGAGAGTGGGGGACCATTGGAGCCATCCAGGCTGCGTCTATACCAGGGGTGGGCAAAATGCAGCCCAGGGGCTGGATGCGACCCGCCAGGCCATTCCATCCAGCCCGCGTGGCCCCTAAAAAATTTAGAAAATGAATATTTATCTGCCCTAGATTGCCTGTCATGTGGCCCTCAATGGCTTGCCAAAACTCAGTAAGTGGCCCTCTGCCCAAAATAATTGCCCACCCCTGTTCTATACTGTTTCCTGCCTTGTGAGCTCCTTCACCACTGGCATCATTACTCTGCCCATTTCTCTCATTCGCATCTGGCAGTTGGTTGTACCCAATGACTACACAGAGTCAATACAGTGGAAATTGGTCCTGTTGGCTTTAGGCCTGA